CCCCCCCCCCCCAACTCTGTAAGAAAGAAAGACAGGCTTAAGCAGGAAGAGAGGTGATCTTTGAGATGGAGAAAGATGGGATTATCTTAGGTCATGTGGCTCCTGAATAAAGCCTCTTTCCTTTTGCCTCTCGAGTTAGGCTTTCGTTGCGGCAGGTAGCCAAACATAAGGTTTTAGGGGTTTTTTTCAGTTACAAAACCAGTCAGTTTAGGGCTTTCATTACCATTAGCATTGCTGACCTCACAAATGACAGTAACATTTTCTTTCTAACCTTAATTCATGCTAAATTTCAGCAAGTATCAAGTGAGAGACAGATAGACGGCCAAGACATCTGAGCCATGGTACATGCCCACAGCCAACAGCATGGGCAGAAAACTGATTCTAGCTCATCTGGAGAGTCCACCCAGAAGAGTCCACCTTGCTTTATCCTATGTGCAACCAAATAGAAGAACACAATGTTTCCTCCAGGTGGGAGCAAAGCATATCCAATAAACGAATCTTGTTCTTCTAAGGAACAAAGAAGAAGCACTATTTGTTTTTCTGGAATGCAACCTTTTATAGACAAGAATTCCTGCAATACTTCAAGTTCTCAAAGTGGAAAGGAAGGCGAGTTTTACCATCAGAATTAGCACTCCATGAAGGGCATATAGTCCATCTGCTGTAGGAAGCACATTGGTAGATACATTAAAACCCACTTACAAATGGAGAGCCTCTAAGCCTCATTACACAGCTATTAATAGGAAGTAAAATGTCCTTTGTTTACTCTGTACTCTGCACGACAGGGGATGGGGGAAGAGAATATATTCATTCAATATTAGATCATCCTCTAGCATCATCAAAGAGCAGAGAAGCTATGCCCTTTCCCAGCGGCACCTGACCGTAAAGAACAGACCAGCTACAACAAACTTCAGAGCGAGTGTCTCGATGTAACAAGTGCTTCCTCTGGTGCTTGCAGAGAACCAGAGGAAAGCAGTGTAAAGGGGGCTGCTGGCTAGATCAGAGCAAGCTACCTTCAGCTGGGGGGCCTTCCCCAGGGGACTGAATAAGTGGGAAACATCCAGACCCTCTGAGGATGAACTCACCTTTGGCCACATGGAAACTCCTGTTACATAAGAAAAGTGGCTCTGGCATTAAGACAGATGATACAAAGTCATGGTGGTCCACCTCCCCAAGAAATGGCCACACAAAGAGTGAGGATGATATGATTATATAGACTACTCTCTTCATATATATTATTTTATTTAAATACTCAGAGAAACCTTATATGGCAGAAATTATTCCCATTTCACAGGTAAACTAAGCCTTAAAGGGGTCCAGTCACTTCCTTAAGCTGAAACTTGAACCCAAGTCAACCTGAAGCTACAGCCATGGTCTTGCCCTTTGTCATTCCATCTCCTAGCTCTCAGGTCTTCTTAAAAGGGAGCACATTGTAAGTAGTCTCCTATTTTAGCTCTAAGACACAGCAAGTTCTATTTATATCTCAACAAAGGGACCAATAGTTTGCCAACAGGGTCTTTAGATTCCTCTGTTAAGGTACTCTTGTAGCTGCCTGGGAAATATTACAACATTTATAGATGTAACTGCTTCACCTGGCTCCTAAGCAAAATTAAATATTCACATTTATAAAAATTTTTATAAATATCTTGAAACAGGCTTTTAAAACTAGGAAAAAATACTGATGAGAAAGGGAAGAAGGAAAAGAAAGGGAAGGAGTTCAATACAGTAGGAGGACCTCAGTGGAAGGACCCTGAAATGAAGGAGAAGCATCTTCAGGATTCAGAGAAACAGCCTGTGAAGTGCCCTAGGGCAGAGGGCCAAAGGTCTGGTCTGCCTGCTTTTCGCACAGAACTCTCCAACCCAGTCAAGGTACCACACACAATCCTAATGGTCTCTCCAGAACTTACCATGTATGCACTTGCTGTTACTCAAGTCCAGATAAAATAGAACAAGAAAGTGCCTTTACATTGCTCCTCTCCTTCTAGGACCCCCTGGCTTGAGTCTAGCTGACCTATATGAAGAGCTCAGTACTAGCAAAGATCCTGTTCTAATTGCTTTATGTGGGCCATCCCACGTAATCCTCACCATACCCATGTTATGACATGTGCAGATAAGGCCACTGAGCTGCCCGACTGTTGGGTAAGTGCCAGGGCCAGGATCCCAACACAAGCAGTCTGGCTCGAAGCACGCAGGACAATGACTTCGGGGACCCCTCCTCTGCATCCAGGCAATCTGCATTATGCAAAGTACAGTGCTGAGGACTGCCAAGGCTACTGCACAAAACATCACCAGAGGACACATGGACCAACTACCAAGAAAGCACACACCTAACTTTAAATTGTCTTCTGAAAGTATAGGATGGGACTCTAGGAGCACTCTAAGAAAATGAAAACTGATACAACAGAAAAACTTGAGGAAAACTATTGCACTATTAGACTCTTGAATTTAGCAAGCATAAGTAGCATAATTCGCTAGGCACAGTTGTTTTCTGAGCTTTCCCAATATAAAAATATAGTAGGAAGAGAGAAAACTGCTTCTTTTAAAAAATCTATTCCCATTTCACACCACAGTATCAATATTTACGTAGTCTACTTCTCATAACAAAAATTTAAAAGCTGTAAATAAAAACAAATATAACTCCTCAAAATAATGTCAGTAAAACTGGGGAGATAAGCTGAATGTTTCACGAAATGACCTCTGTCAGAAAGCCCCATGAAGAGTGTCAGTCTTTGCTGTAGACACCCCCCAGGGCGTAGTACCACAACCATTCTCTCAATCTCAACCCACCTCCCTTAGCCCAAATAAACAACACGCATTTTCCTAAGAGAGACTCAGCAGTGTTTCAAAGCTGCTTTCTCTTTTTCCTCTTCATAAAAACCATGAGATCAAAAATCAATGAACTTCAAACCTTTTCAAGTTCAAGAAATGCTCAGTCTCAACCTTGGGATTCACGCATGTAAACACCTCACTTAAGTTGTTTTCTATCCAGCACTGAATAGAAAAACACATGATCAGAACCTTTTTTAAAAGTCCAATATAACTTTTTCTATTTTCATTACATAATTAATTATGAACTTTCCACATAGCTTTCTTTGCTTATCTGAAGTTATTTATTTAAAATTATTTTAAAATTGTTTAAACTTACTCTTAAAAAACCCCTATGACACTGATGGGAAGAATGCTAAATCAATATATTATTTCTTGGAATCCAGTCAGTGCTTCTAAGATAAGCAGCAAAAGCCTATTTCGAAACACAGTGCCACTAGCCATCTCTGAAAAGAGAATACCTTTCCCACTTTTAAACACACCATCTTTCTATCTCAAAAGAAAAAAGCATTCCCTTTTTGAAAATGCAAATCTCTTTTCTTACCCCCCAAAAACAACCTCCTTCCCATCGCCACTTGACCCAACCCCCTAACCATTTCAAAAACACAACCAAACATAATGACGTCAAGGTGAATCGGAGGGACTTACAGTTGAAGATGCCCGGAGGTGGATGTTCGGTCACCAGGAGACAGTTTTCTTCGTCACTGTTGTCCCCACAGTCGTTCTGCTGGTTACAGACCAGTGAACCAAGATACAAGCATTTACCGCTGGTGCAGGTGAATTTGCACTCTGAAAAAGGACAGTGAAAGGCGGGAAGTAATCAATGAGAGTCTGACACTCTTGACTTATTTTTTTCCTTCCCCGTTTGCATTCCACAACGGTTTGGGAACTCAGTCTCTCTGGAGATCCCAGGAAACTGACCTCAGAGAAGGGCTTAGGAAGGACCTTCCTTCTAGGAAATGCACAGGGCAGTGCCCCAGGGGCACTCTGGGGCCTGCCATACATCACGCCCCGCTCAGCTCTAACCCACAAATGAGTAACACAGGTGCTTTCTTTCCATGGCCTGCCCGCAAGAGTCATAGCTATGAGGGTCTTATTTTCCTTGAAAAAAATCCGTGGCATTTTTCCAAGCCTCCAAGCATGAGGAGCCTGGAGAGCTCAGGCTTGATAAAAGGAGGCACATACATTTATTTGCACTTGTCACTAAGTGTTGTGAAGCTCCAAGCAAGGTATTTAACCTCTTTGGTGTTCATTCGTCTCGTACCTAAGAAAAACCAGGTTTGTGACCAGGCAGGGGTAGCACTGACTTTATAATGTAAAACGTAGGAAAATAATATGTGCCCCCGGCTGCCTGAGAAGCATCTATGCCAAGGGCCATGAGAGTGACTTTTAAAGAACAGGATGGAGCCCAACCCAAATCCCCGTAGGCCGCACTGAATGTGGGCTCCCTGAGCTCTGTACAACTCAATATTGGAAAATGGAATTTACTTTTATAAGACTTAAAATAAATGTGTAAACTTAACACATTGCTATCAATTAAGGATAAAGGAAATGACACAATTACATACTCTTGGGCACATCAACGTCTATGTATATCTTAAATTGAGTATCTGTGAGCTTTATCCTAAGCGTACCCACAGAAGCTGGCAGGACTGGCATAGTCCCAACTCAGTGGACAGCCAGTAGAAAAAAAGAGGGAAAGCACCCCAAGACCCCCCGCTGATGCTATCGCAGCCTCTTCATTTCTTCCCCATTTTATCTGTCTAGAATATGGGTGGCAGGCCTGGATCAAGTCCAAAGTTCTTTGACTTTAAAACTCTGTTATTCAAATAAAAAACTAGGCATCAGCACACCAAGGCCTCCTCCAGCTACACTAAGGACACACGGGGCTGCGAAGAGAATAACCCTTTACCTGCTGTAAAGAGACAGGACTTAAATTCTCAAAAGTATTTATGTCTGTGACCCAGTATGAAAGAAGATTACAATTCTCCATTTGTTCACATTCTCTTAAAAGACTGTAGAAAAAGACACCAGCCACAGCCCGACCTAGTTTAGAATCACACGTGAACACAGCCCACATGCACAACCACAAGCCCGCTGCTGCTGCACCGTACAGGTTAAAAAACCTCTGTGCCGAGTGTGGTCCAGGCCATGCGGTAGGAGCGCTGCTGAAACCAAACTCTCTCTTCCCATAAAGTGAAAGGATTAAAATCGAGCTGTTCAAAATCACATTTATAAAGTGACTTTTTTTTAACTTAAAGGAGGAAAAAAGGATGTCAAGGAAAGAATTTATCTTCCTTTCTAAAAGAAATATTGGAGTTCCAATTAATACCAAAGGTAAAAAAGGGCATTAAGCCAAAAACAGGTACTCCTGAAGTTGAAATGCTAATTGGAAAAAAGGGAACACTCACCTAAACTGAATCATACTCCAACTAAAAAAATTAACCGTTGCTGTGGTCTGAAAGGATCTCAGGTTGGACTACCACGTTCAAGTTCATGTGGTACTTTAAACCAGCGGGGAAATGTAACGACTTCCACGCTTGACTCATTTCAAGGAGAGGCCCAGTCTAGAGTAACAACATATTGTCAAGGAAATGAATTATGGGATTCATTAATTCCTATAACCAATATTTTAGCCCTTTCTAGGTTATACGTTAGGTAGTGAGACATGGAAACACGAAGATGAAAGAGCAAGTCCTCTTAAAGGGTTTACAATATGCATTTTTTTTAAATGTAAGCAGTGACTAATATATTTGCTAACTCCTTCCAAGGACTAATTTTCCTTCTCTATATCCTTCACATCTAGACTGCTGCCCAGCAATTAACAGGCACTTGGTGAATCACATATTTGTTGAGTAAATTAATGATCTAATCTGACCCTCCTAAGAACTCTGTGAAATAATTAGGGTAGATATTCTTATTCCCATTTTATAGATGAGGGTGTTAAGATGCAGAGATTAATAACCACCTATAACTAAACTGCTAATAAATGGCAAAATCCAGGTGAGTGTCCCAAGTATCTGCCTCTTGTCTCAGGCTCTCCTCTTCATTGCCTCTCGGTGTCCCAGCCTGCTTCCATAAATGTCTAAGACTCATCTGTAATGAGGATGCCTGTTAATGTAACAAAGTTCTCAAAAGAATTTGTTTTTGTAAGTAGGCTTACCATTGTTGAGGACACATTAACAAGGCTTATGCTACTGATGTGCTCAGAAAGCTCTTAGATACTGGAAATATCAACATCAACCCACTGAATTTCAAATTCCTAAAATCTAAATCTTTTCAGCCATGAGTCATTAGCTGAATATCAAACTAAAGGTCTCTCCATCGCATGGCCCCTTGAATCAAAACTACTAGATTGAAATTTTGAATCTATCGACTTCTTTATGTGATGTAGAAAATACTAGAAAATTGCTATAAATTAAGTGTTGGAGATCAATACTAAAGCTGGAGTAAAATTTCAGACCAGACTAAAATGCCAGTCCAAGTTAACATAACTGGTGATGACAGAGGCAGGCTTCCAACTCGATCCTGACTCACCCTGCAAGGCCATCTCTACCACATTTCGCTATCCAAAAGCCCAGTGCATTCCGCCAGTACATTCAGACATGAAGGGATGGCTCTCTATGAACTAAGTTACTGTGATATTTCAAACAAACTAAGAACCCTAGATGAGAGGGTCTAACCGCTCCTGCATATTGGAATCACCTGGGGATCTTTCAACACCATGATGCCCAAGCTCGGGCCCAGGCCACCGCTCTCACTAGCCTGAGGCGCAGCCTGGCAGTGCAGGTTTCTGGAGATCCCTAGAATGATTCTGACGGGCAGCCAAGGTGGAGAGCGACTGCCTAGGGAGACGTATGTAAGTCACTTAGAGGAAGCCATCTCTTTAGCTAATAGTATTTTATTGGAATGTTTAGTTGGCATTTGCTGATTTACTAAAAAAGAAAAACCAAAACAAAACAGAAACTAAAATATAATCTCTTAAAATAGGCAAGTGTTTTGATGATTCCTGGATATAAAACCTGGTTGCTACAGCTCTGTACCGTCAAAGGAGATTTCAAAAACTTTGGGACCCTAGAGCCAGGAAACATCTTCACTGAAGTACGACACAAGTCAGAGAAAGAAGATGGAAGAATAAAAATATTTTATTATTATATTTTGTCCATTATTTGTGGAACTTGCTGATTATTTCTGCCAAGCCAGAAGTTGAAGGAAATCAAAGGTTGTTAAACATTGGAAACATTTTGGCTACAAATTCATGGCGATTTCAGATGTATAATATTGGTATGAAACAGAGAATGAACAACTCAGGAACCAGTTTTTCCTTCAGGAGCTATATATTTGATTTTTAAAATTGTAATATTTAAATAACTCCTCTTCTTTAAAGTTGGGACTTTTTAAATGAAGAAAATGACATTCCTTTCAGCCATAATTCTCTATGTGATATCCTATGAAAATATATCTAAAATCAACAACATATTTTAGAATCTCTTTATATACTCTTGGTAATAAAGAATTTTCTCCAAATTTGGGGTCTTCTTTCATTTCAGTGATGAATTTCAGTGACTTTGAATTGTTATAGATTCATAAAATTCTAATGCTGAGAGGGCCTTGGACACAGGGTGGTTCAACCTCTCATGTCACAGATGAGGAGAGAGTCCAGAGGGAATTCCTGACTTACCCCCAGTTGGAGAACAAATTCCCTGTAATGGATCATAAAACCCAAGATTTCTACCAAGTTGGGAGATAAAAACCCTTGTTGTCCTAAATGTCATTCTAATTCTATACAAACTAATATTAACCAGGTGCAGTATACTATGTGAGAGAGGAGAAAGGAAAGAATGATTAAGAGAAGAAAATTTGCTCTGGCTGGCACGACTCAGTTGGTTGGAGCATTGTCCCATACACCCAAAGGTCATGGGTTCAATTCCCGGTCAGGACATATACCCAGGTTGTGGGTTTGACCCACGGTCAGGGAGGACACAGGAGGCAACAGATCGATGTTTCTCTCTCACATAGATGCTTCCTCTGTCCCCTTCTTTCTCTCTCTCTCTCCCCCTCTCCCTTCCTCTCTCTCTAAAATCAATAAAATCATATCCTCAGGTGAGGATTTTTAAAAAAGATTAAGGAAATTTTCCAATATTTTGTTACCTTTAAAAAAAAAAAGCTATTTTAAGAGTCCTGAAACCAAGAAAAATGGAATATCCTAGGGTGTTCTGTGAATTCAAAACTTTCAGACAAAAAAACTATATTGAAAACATTTTAAGGACCAGTAGCTCAACAATTGGAATATTCTAAACCTAAACCTGGACAGGATTCAAAGATAAATGCTCAATCTTGACTTCTAAAGAACAAGTCTGCATCTCAGAGACCAACATTAATCCACTTGGTAGAATCAACATTTTATTAGTTAAAAGGCAATAAAAAGTGCTTGAAAGTTGCTAAGAGAGTAGATCTTAAATGTTCTCACCACACAAAAAAAAGAAACAGTAATTAGGTGGCATGATGCAAGTTTTAGCTAATGGTACAGTGGTCATCATTCTACAATATATAAGCCGATCAAATCAACACCTTAAACTTACACAATGTTATACGTCAATTATATCTCAATAAAGCTGGGGGTGGGACGCCAACAAATTGTTCTCAGTTTTTCCTATCCTCTTTTTAAAGACTCAGTTTTCACAGACAGGATCTCAGCCACAAAATAAAGACCTGCATAGAGTATTACACCACAAGTGTAAAATCAGCCATTTTGTGAATTGGCAAAGTAGTTCTACCACAGCTATTTT